GCAGTGGTAATTTAACTCTGTCAATAATAGTTGCATATATTATGTGGTTGATCTGGACTTCTCTTGGATTCAATGGAATTATCTAGAATATTTTTAATAATTTTCAATGTATACAACTATGCACATGCGTGTTGCGTGTACAAGCCCGAAAAACATACGACATGCGTCGGTCGTATTCTAGAATGATAATTGAAAATAAAATACTAAATTATTACTTGTTTTTATACAGGTTTTAGTTATTATCTATACGCGGAATACGAGGTACCACAGGTATCAGTATATCATTCATAATGATTAGGTGAACAATAGAGTGGAGGGAGTCTACGGACGCACAGTGGTCGGAAACGTAATCTAGTTTGCCTAAATGAAAATTTAAGATTATGTCATATACCACTTATGACATAAAACCATTATCGACTTTATATTTATTAGAGATAAAATGAAGCTTATGATAAATTTGGATATTTCTAACCTTGCTGAATTCCCAGATAAGTGTATACAATATATATATATATTTGAAAGTATAGTGTTATCATTAATTACGATTTTTCAATATTTTTTAAATTTAAAAGGGTAGTTTTAAAAATGTATTCGTTTTTACAATTTAACAATACATACAAATTATAGTTTAACTAATGGAATACACAGATCAAAAAAAAAAAAAAATTACGTTTATTTGCGTTTACACCTTAAATGTATTTCTTTTTAGGGACTAGTAATGGAGAGAGTGGCATAATACATTTTTTTTATTCCTATTTTAAATAGTAAAAAAATATTGATAAAAAAAAACTTAAATTTTACTCTTTTAAGAGACTCATTATAAATTTTGGGAATAAATATTGAAAAACGAAGTTCAATGCGGCTTATAGAATTTTTCCTTCTATTTTAATAAAAAAAAAAAAAATCAAATTTGGTTGATTCTACGGTGTAGGTTCACTACTTCCGTTAAGTGTATTTTTGAGGGTAAAACGACATTGGCACCAGGCGCCTTAATAGTTCGAATTCGAATTTTTAAGTATTATTACATTAATAAAAGATACCTGTCATTTCAGGGTCTAGTTTTCCTAAATAATGCGTCACGCACAGCTATAGATTTTTTACGTTTTATAATTGGTGCGGTTCAAGGGAACGGTTTCGATAGGATTACGATAATATTATGACATAATTCTAATTTTAAACAATTCTGAAAATATGACTGTTAGAGCCAGTGATCTAGCACAGAATAAAACAGAATGGACACTGATAACAAATTACATGGACAGCATAGGACAATAATGAAATCAGTCAGCCATTTTATTTGAGGTACAGTAGGAAATTAGTAACATTTTATTTCATCATGAAACGGTAGTAATATTCTTTATAAGCTACTGCGCATTTTTAAATATTACTAATAGTAGTATTATTTTTTAAGGTATTAGGTGCAATAAGAGTTTGAGATCTGGGGGGCTTATAAGTCTTATACTGTGTTATGACCATGGGTCAACCCCCAATCTTGCATCATTACCAAAAAAAAATAAATTGTGTTTTTGTAAATGTATTACAATTGTATTTGTAAATTTACTACAATTATTTGCATTTTATAGTATTATATAGATATAAACGTTTTTAATATACTTAAATATAATGCTATTTAATCATCGATGAATCTATTTTATATATATATATTTTTTTAAACACTTCCCATTCTGAAATCCTGCGCATGGGCCTGTATTATGATACAACATAATATCTAAAAAATGATCCACAAGTAAAAAGTTCTTGGTACCCAGTAGGTCACCATGTTTCACACTGTTTGTTAGATCACATATTGAACAATTACCATAATTGAAATTACAATTAATAACGAATATCAGTTATCACAGATTATAGTTTGATAACAAAAGTACCTCAATTAAAGTAGCCGCTGATTTCGTTGCTGCCGTGTTTTGTCCACCCCCTGAATCTCGTATAATATCTATAATATCTAGTACAATCATCGTTTAATCTCCAATCTGTGTTGAACGATTTGCATGTCTGCATTGTGAACATCTAGCGGCTAAAGAGTAATGACAAGTGATAATATTTATTGTCATCGATGAAAAATTTGTGTTTATTTGGTCGTGTACCCCTTATCATCCCCTCTTTTTTTAACTACTGTGCCTGCCCTGATATACGTTGGGTTTTCTTTGGTTTTTCCTAAAAAAAAATTCCTGGCGCCATCACCGTTGACAATACATCAAAATCCTGACTACAGCAAAATGTAATTACATTATTTGTTTAGGAAGTGTTATAGCAATGACGAAAAGGAAACATTATATTGGACTTCAATAGCAGAACAGAATATAAAATTAAATTAGTACACGAATCTTAATGGGATGGATGGGCTTGAAATTGACTGTAAACATTATCGATGAGTTATCATTATTACACTTATCTAGAGTAAGATTCGTCAATGAAAATCTTAGTATCGACATTAAATTCAACCCGATACGATTTTTAGACTTGTTACCGGTGACTGCTGAGAATCCACATAAGTGCGACAAAGGAAAAGACTCTCAATATCTTTTCACTTAACGTCTTGTATTCGCACTGCACTGCCCAGCGACTCGTCGTTCGAACTAAACGTTTAACGTATTTGCAAAGCAAAATCGATAGGTGTATTGAAACCAGACTGTCGTTGTACCCATTGTAGTTACGTGGGCACGTACCACGTGTTAATTTTTCGTTATAGACGGTCGTTTTTCGACTATTCTTATATAATCTTGTATAGTTGCAAGACACTATTGACTGGTTATTATTATTTATTGTAAATTTTATATTGCGATTGACTTGTATATAACATAAAAATATAGTTATATATTTTATAAATGTGCATGTTTAACATGACATTTTTTCCCTGGCTGATTTTTATCTAGATTTTTTTTATAGTAATTTTTTTGGAATATTTTGAAATAAGCACTCGAGTTTTGTGGAACCCTTAAGTGATCTCCGGGGAATACTGTTTAAAAAATACTGCGTTAGTATAATAATAATATAAGTATATAAATATATAAGTATAATAATAATGATAGTATACATGATTTTTAATTATTTTACCTAATTGAAAAACAATCACAGATTTATTTAATCTTCTTGTACAATTTATATCGTTTTATGCAATTAGAAATGTATAAATAAAACCCAATATTTAAATACACAAGGTCAATCGATTAAATCATACATTAAATTGAAATTATTTAGAAACAGCGTTGCTATTATTATTTTTTAAAAACTTGTCCCTAATAATATACACAATAGGTAATCGATAGTACAAATTATGTATATATAATAAAATGTGAGGGAACAAAACAGTAAAGGAAAATAATTTTTGTTGTCAACTAATTTTATTGCGTCATAAATTCAAATAATATAATAATTGAAAAAAATAAATTGTAGATTAATACATTAAAAATGTCGAAGTATAATAATATGTTCACGGAGAGTGTATATTCGTTGTTATTATAAAAATCAAATTAATCGTACAAAGTAGAACAAAATTAACGTATATATATATTTTAACTACTAATAAGAATAATAAAAATAAGACTTAATTTTAAAAACATGATAAAAATATTGTAATTATGACTATATTATACATATTAAATAATGTTATGATCCGATAAATGTAACCTTATTCTATATAATTAATAATTGTTCTTGATATTAATTAATGATAACATTTTTCTTTTTTTTTTGATATTACGATAGATATATAATATTATGTGTTGTATAAGTAATATGTATTTATATTTTTGTACATAATATTAATCCTATATGGTCGGCTCTAATATTGCCAACTCTATGTACGGTCAAGTAAGGTTAGAACGCAAAAAACATAATTTCCAACTCATCGATCGACGTGACTAATGATTTTATTCTATTATCGTTTTTGTATATTGTTGAGTCATTGGTATTGAATCTTTAATATTATTTCATTGTTTAGATGGCCGAAAAACAGTTTCACAAATTCTGATTGATATCTGATAGTATTGTACGAGACCGGTCTTAAGGGTGTTGAACGAATGGTGGCAATGACTAGTAATGGGAATGGATTCATGGGATTCAGAGTTAAGATGCACAACATCAATGTTATCTTAGTAATTATTCAGAATATTTTAATAATTTAATAAATTTATAATAATAATTTAAATAATTTTAATAATTTAATAATAATTAAACATTGATGGAGAGAAAGAGAGAGAGTGAGAGAGAGAGAGAGAGAGAGAGAGAGAGAGAGAGAGAGAAACGGTAAAAAATAAAAAATGATCAAGAACAAAAATACCACAATGGCCATTATCGCTTAACGGTAAAATAGATATAGGGAGCACAGATTACTTTCTAAGTCCGTCAATTAATCAAAGACCGGCCTCGAATATATATACATACATGCGAGTGGAAAATAATAGTCATAAATTATTATGACTCATAATAGAACATAATATCATAACAATTATAACGATAGAGTATAAGATAAAAATACATTATATTATAATATTTTAACGTACGGTATACAGCCACCCGCAACGTCATGTATTCGTTTTATTGTGCGTTTACGAAATTAAAAGCGTATTGAACTTTTAGTTGTGTGTAATGAAATATTATATTATACGATTACAATAATAACTATTTTGACTTACGTTTTTGGGCAAATAATAACTAATGTTGCATGCTTCTCGACAGCGAGAATGCAGTGTAAAATTTTGGAATTTTTTTTACACCATGTTGGCTAACAATTACACTGCCCATCGTCCGGTTGGAAAATTTAGCGTGTTATTCTCGTGTATTGCGCACAAGGAATAACGCTCAACCGGTCGATCCCATTGCCGTTGATCAGGATTTTGCGACATTCGACGTCACCGTGATAATATTCTATACGGTCGTCGTTAAATTTAGTCGAGAAACGCACGATTAAACGTATTTTATTTTTAGATTTTTGTTAAGTTTTTGATTTTTTTGAGCAACGTAAGAAATGCATAACGCGATATCGATAGTAGGTTGGGCGAAGACGATTTGGTTTTTTGTATACGATGGTTTTTTTTTTTTTTTTGTGTGAAATAAATCCTAAGTTTCTCATTTTATTTCAATACATTGCTTGATACAATCGTCTGACGAACAAAAATACATTATTATTAATATAATTATAAATGTTACAATAAAAGCGCTAACGAGTTTTCTCTTTCTCGTTATAATTATTTAAAGATTTAACAACAAAGTTATATATGTAACATATATTATATAAGAACAGTAAAATTAAACAATTTATATATATATATATATATATATAATATTCGTTATAAAAGCAGATTTTTTTTATTCTCATGTACAATTATAGTGAATCTAATTAAGAAAATCAATAAACAAGTCGGATATCTTTATTCAAATGTACTTCCAGCTTTTTTTTTATTGGTATTGTTATACGACATGATGTTGCATAGTACTCATCGTGAGCATTATTTGTTACTTATTAAACGTTTAACATATCACAGTAAATCGAAAACGCCGTTATTTATGTTCATACGAGTTCTCGACTACCAACCTAACCAATCTACCTATAAACAACGAGTTATATTTTTATCAGAAATGTATTTCAAGAAATGTATACGGAGAGGTCTATCGTTGCGTTAATAATAATTGAAAAAAAACCAATAATTAGGTCTATTTTTTTCATAGGAATGATCGAATTTATTTGGAATGTTCAAGTCTAAAATCGACGATTCACCAGTTATGAACCGAATCTAACATAATAATACTTTCTAATCGGGGACACAATTATATTTTCGAAAGAGAGAAAAACGGCAATGTTCGCGAGATTTGTGTGGATTGAGAAAAATCTATGGTTTACGAGTACATATGTGCACGTGAGACGAACGGGATTATAGTAGTTTGAAGTTGTGTGCAATATCGTAGATATCATCCGTGTACGTGCCGTTGTGAATCGAACATTTATAACTCAGTGAAAGCGGAAGTACATTTCGAGTTATAATAATTAACTATAACGTCTTATCCTTAACTATACGTATAATTTAATGTCTTTAAAAATGTTTATATAATAATAATTCTAATAATTTTTTTTTTATATTTTTATGTATATTTTTAATTTTTTTTTCAAAGTTTAACAACGTCGTAACGTTTTAAAGTTGTGATGAGCAAAATATTTAAATACTTCTTATTTTTTTTTTTTTGTATATGCAAAGAGATTAAAATAAATTTTACGCATTTATATTATATGCGAACGAGCTCATACAGTATCAAATATGATTTAAATTTCCACGCACCATATATACATGTACGAATTTGTATTAAAAATACACCAGTACATTACATAATATTGCGTAAAATTGTAAACATATTTGATTACCTAATAAAGTTTAATATTTTCATATGCTATAGATATGTGTAGAATTATTCTCATTTGCGAAAGGAAAAACGTTTGATAAAATATAATTATTTAAAAATTAGAAGAGTAATAATTATAATAATTTATGTAATAAGAGTTAAAACGAGAAATTCTTAGAGTCTGTTGGATTCGGTTGTCATTCCGTTGACCTCGAAATCCTGGTTATCCATCCTGGCGTCCTGGCTAATTCCTGCTGCTCCGCTGTTTAAGGCCATTTTCTTCATCTGGCGTACCACCGTTGTCGCATGGTATGCTTGCTGCAATCAATAAATTATACACATATTAGATACGCTCATACTCAACACATAAACACATACACAAACACACACACAACACACACACACACACACACACACACACACA